AAATACCAACGTCCATCATCCATCTTTTGAATTGCAGAAAGACTATTCTAAAAAACTCTGTAAAACCCGGATGGGTGGAACCTGATCTAAACTACATTTTATGATTGGATAAATTAGATATTTTACCACTGTAAAGTATTTAATATTAACCAATCATGATCCATCTAACTAACAACCCACTTATTTGTAAGTGCTGGAATTACTTGTAATTTCAGCACCAGAGAGATTTGAATTTAACTTAGAAATTAGTTGACTCTCCAAGAAGACTTCAGCAGCCGCAATAAACCAGTATACCCTAGATCTATTGAGCCTAGCAGAGACTAGTTAAACACCCTGAGACTAGATAGTATAAGAGTAAGATTAGGATCGGTATTAGACTAAGAAGTTGCACGAATCTATCCGGCCGAAAATAAGATAGCGTGACGAGCAGACGGTGTACCCTATCCGAAATTACTCTATGAGTTAACCACCTCGGTTCTAACTCACAAGAGAAGTGCATTCATACTTGCACATATGAATGTTTAGGTATTTACGCAATTTTTGAGTTCAATTCATGTTCATTTTCTAGAAGGTAAGCAAAATGCACTTTCCAATTATCAAAGCTGATATGGCGGAAAAAATTTGATCAATTTTTAGTTTTGAAGGTGAAGTTCAGTTTTTTGAATTCCCAGCGGAATAAAAACTTTTATTAATAATTCGGTTTTCTCAAATTGGGTTAATGTTTTTTGAAAAATTGCATATTATCAATTACTCTTGAAATTCAGATAGCTTTGAGGCCATGTAATTTTTTGCTTGATTTTTTTTTGTCAACTTTTTATTTCAGTTTCTCTTCGCTCATTGATTTTTTTTCAACTGTCTGTTGGCTAGGGTTTTTACTTCACGTGAGCGTTATGTTTCATACACAAAAAGACTTCGAGTTTCCACGTTATATCGGCCGATATTTTCTTTTTTACACGCTTTATGCCACTTTTTTTCTCTTTTGAATCTGGTGATGAAATCTACTGCAGATTAGTAAAAACATTTTTTTTTGCGTATTGAAAAAAAAGAAGTGATCTATAGGTAACGCAAGTTCGAAGTAAGTAAAAACTACGCGATCATTTTTGCTGAAATTTTTAACCGTTCAGACGCACCTGTTGCAAAAAGAATTAGGGTCAACTGATTGTTTTGCATGAAACAAAGCTGTCCATATGCAAAACATTACAGTATAACAAAACTAATCAAAAAAAATTTCAAAAAATAAGTTCTGAAACTCGAAAAAGGAGTTAGATTTTTAAATGCGTAAAATAAACCACAGTGATCATTTTTTTTTTTCATTTTGATTGTTTGGTTGGGTCATTTTGTATAGCTTCAATTTTTATCCCGCTCAAATATGATCTCTCGTAAGTTTTACTGGCTTTAAGTATTGATATTTGATCCATCTTCGTTGTTTTTTGTGGTTTTTCAAATAGGTAACGAATTCGTGTTAGAAAAGTATGAAAAGGCATTTCTGGCCCGTCTTCAACTGAACGGAACTTAGCAATTTATTTCTAAACAGGATCGGCGAAGTTCTTGAAAAGGATCATTTATGCTTTCCAGATCTTATCTTCCTTTTTTTCCTAGCAGACCTGCTTCAGGTATGTGCAGGTCTGAACCAGACGCGACCATGAGTGCTAGCTCCACGTATCAGCAGTTCTCATTGTGACAAAATCCATAGCTGTCCTAGAACTGAAATAGATGCGCTCATTTTCAAATGAAATAGAACATTTGCTTGTTTGTGTTCAAATAGTACATCTGTAATATTAATTTCAAGTACTAGGACTTTGATTTGTGACTTTAAACAACCAGGCAATGTTTTTAATTATAATCCCCAGTTTTTTGTTCAGCTCCTATCACAACACGCCGAAAAAAGCGAAAATAATTAGGAAAGACTTTGTTGTTTGTTTGTAAGGTGTGGCCAGAACATTCTGTGCTACTTGCACATTAACCGGCTATCCTTGCTTAATTTGTTATTGTGTCAAGATTCGAAGAAAATACGGGATTGTTTGTGCTCGACAAGTTTTATTCCTTCAGATAGTTTTCACGTACAGCTAGTTTTGAGCGGGATTTGTTACACCATTTGAATAGTATTGATTGCCGTGAACCTACTCCGCTTATTTTTCCAATTTTAGGAGGTTGTCAATTACTAGTTTGGCCAATTTGGGTGCTTTTAGCGCGTAACCGGCAACCTAATAAGGCACAGAAAACTTTCCAAAATGTTTTGAAGCAAGCGTTACCAATGAATTATTATTGCGTTTTTAGAGTTCTGAAATCAACACTTAGTACTTTTGAAGAAGTGTGGGTAAAAATTAATAAAAAATGTTTAAAAAACTCATTTTTAGATATTCTTGAATTTTTTTGAAAATGAAAAAAGCTATCTAATAGCTTTTAAATAGCAGTCGGAAAATTCAGGACTATGCCTGCATCCGAGCAGTATTTTTTTGATTTACCAAATGAAAATTTGCATTGAGCCGTTTTTAGAGCCGTTTATAGGTTACTTTCATCAGCATTTCAAAGTCAGCAAATGTGAAAAAAAAAAATACTGTATGCGAACTGGAATATCATTAAACACGTTAGTCCAACTGAAACCAGAAACACCAACAGAAACACTGGAATCCAGTGCCTGCCCACGTCAACCACCAGACTCTTTTATTGCTTGTCATACAATTCCATAAATAAAACTTTTGAAAACATGCTAGTCATAAAATTCTCACATTAGTAAATTGTACGAAGAACTGTACGACTAGCATTAATTTGGGAAATGAAAACTCCAAAAATGTTAATCTTAGCCAATTTCGTTCAAAGAAAATTTTTTTCTCTAGAACTGTAATTGCATGCAAATTTATTAAATTTTTTGTCTACCACCTCAGCCAGTAGCTCAAACGTTTCAAAAAGATTTCGGTTATCCAAGTTTAGTTTAAAATTTTTCAATTGATTTTTTTGATTTGTACCATATCATTGGCTAGTTATAAAGATTGCCATAAAATTGTAGCGACAAAAAATTAGCTAAATTTCTTTGCACCTGATTGTAAATAATCAGGCCTTTGTTTCTTTTATTTTTTCTGAGAGAGATTTTAATCCTTGACACAACGTAAGGAAACATATTTTCCTCTAAACTTCAAATAAACGTGGTTTTGACATCTTTGTATATTATCTAGGGAAACAACGGCAATGCGAGTATTTAGAGAACTAATACAAGGAAAAAACATGGAAAAAACATGGAAACTTGAAAGTTTATGACATAATCCTTGACATCCAAACCCCATAATGGAAGAATGGATGTCAACTAGTTTTTTTTCCAAATCTTTCGATGTTTTTATTTTATGGACCGGTTATGATAAATGTATGAAAAGTATTTTAGACATCCCGGGTTGTCTCAAAACAAAATATCCAACTCAATTTTCCTCAAAATTGACAGTTTTTTATAGTAAAAAATGGTGTTTTTTAACGAAATGTTTCACTGTTGAAACATCTTGTACGAAACTTTGGTAAGTTTTGCTACACATGTTTTTTTTTGCTACCTGCTTTTGTGGTGAAAAAAAACACCGAGTAGGACATAATTATGATACAGTTCGTTAGAACAGTAAAAAACAATGAGGGATAAAAATATGATCAGATTTGATCTACCTAAGAAACATCGGCCATGTTTTTTGTACCATTGAACTTTAAAAACAGACCGTCAATTTTTTCAAAAACTAAAAAACTAAGATTGTGTAGTTACAGCTGACAGTCTAATTCGTAGCATATAGTGCCATTGAATTTTATGATTAGACATTTTCTTATGAAGGAATAGATCAAAAAACGAGCTGTTAAGCTTTTTACGTGCTTGTTTTAACAACTACGCAAATTATTTTCTAGGCTGGATGAAGTTACCCAGCCCTCGAGTAATAAATTTTTTTTTCGCTTTCACTGTTGTTAAACTTCTCTTTCGACATCATTACGAGGCCAAACTGTGCATTCTCTGCATTGTAAGCGGAATCCGCAACAGTCAAAATCAGATTTGTCGCGGAATCCGCAACATTGCTACTTTTTTTTTGATCTTCTGTGCTGTTTTGTATTCCACAAACAAATACTTAAATTATTGTACCGCTCAAAATTGCTCCAAAAATAGGCGAATTTGCGGAATCCGCAACAGTATTTGCGGAATCCAGATCAGTTTGTGGAATTCACAAACAAATGATAAGACATTTGTATCGCTAAATTGAGTTGTTGCAGAATCCGCAACTGTAAGTGGAATCCGCAAATTGTAAGTGGAATCCGCATTTTGTTTATATGTGGTAACGTTTTAATTTTTTTTTACTAGTTGTTCACCAACAAGTTCAATCTCAGCTACGTTGATCAGCTACCAGTCTCAATTCCTGTCACCAACTTTGATCTCAATTCCTGTAATCCAACTTCGATCCCAATTCCTAACCGAACTTCAATCCCGATTCCTGTCACCAACTTCGATCTCAATTCCTGTAACCCAACTTCGATCCCAATTCCTGTAACCCAATTTCGACCCCAATTCCTGTAACCCAACTTCGATCCCAATTCCTGCCATCAATCTCAATTCCTGCAAAGTGAACAAATTGAACAAACTTATGAAGTAAACTCGCATCTAAATTAATCAGTTCATTTCAATCAATTAATTCAATTAAAATCTAAATACTTTAGCTTAGCCTTTGTGGAACATATTTTAGGACTTGTCTCTGGAATCCAGGAACATACAGACACAAAATTGCGCTACTACCCAGTGCACAGTTTGGCCTCGTAAAGATATTAGAAAAAAAATTTGGTGAAGTTTTTTTTTCAAAACAAATATATGAACTTGAAATCCCCCCTCGCGAAATTCCTAGATCCGCCCCTGAGGTGCTCGAATAATGTTTCGGCTGCTATGGCAAAAACTAATTATGCGTTTGCCTGTTTCCACCAGCTTGGCGGTTGCTGTTTTGCTAGTCCGAACTGTGCTCGTATTTACTCGACTAATCTAAGATACGTTTCGACCGGTTGGATTAGATTGTGCATGCATCTCTCCTTCAGTACATTTTACCGACCCTGAATCAAAAGTATATCAAATTTGTAGTGATACCCGAATTATTACAAAATTGATCAATGAGGGCATCTACAATAGACAAACCATGCTTGAAACATTTGCAATTACTTACATTGGCATGATTTGGCATAAAATATGATGATTTTGCTAAACCGCGTAAAACGAGTCAAATTGACAGAGTTTTTAAAATTTGCGGCGATTGAATCTTGACTTTTAACTCAAAGTTTCTTTTTGAAATCTTTAAGTATTAAAAGGTTGAAGTTACAAAATTGTTCAAAAAGATTCATCCAACATGAACATTTGTTTTGTTATCCCATTGATTGTCTTATCTGTCGCTAAACTATCATGCGCCAGATCAACTTTGGGTAAATGCCCCGAGTACTCAGCGATGTCTGACTTTGACCTGGACTCTTTTCTGGGCAAGTGGCACATGATAGAACAATACCCCAACCCCAGGACCAAGGACACCGTTTGCTTGGTCACGGACTACAAGAGGCAGAGCACGAACCAAACAGGTAATTTTTAAACTTTCCTGTTAAAATTAATCGTTTCTTTCTTTTCAAGGTCAGGTGTCTAATTTTCGTCTATGCTGTATGCTCTACAATAAAATCCGAACCAAGTTTCTGATTGCATACAACAATTTTGTTCAGCATTAGCCATCGAAAAGATTATGGAAAATGTTTTGAAAAAGTAATCTATGGAGAAATGAGTTCCAGCTAGTTATTAGAAAAAAAGAGTACCTGGATCATAATAACTTTAGACATACAGTAGAACGTTTTCCCACCTAGTACAGAAAAGGGATAACTGGGGCTGTTAAATTAATCCAGGTACCTATCTGACCATCGGCATGACCTACGTAGAGCAGGGTGTGAATAAAGAGGGAGCCCTGACTGGTCTGTACTTGCAGGGGGACAGCAAGGCAGAGTTCATCTATGTGCCCTCTCTGCACGAGAACCCGAATGTGTTCTATCTGGACACCAACTATGAAGAGTATGCTCTGCAGTACAGTTGTAAGAACACAGCTCACGGAGTGTTCGAATCTGCAGCTATATACTGTAATTAAGTTGACTTTTGCAGGCACTTTGCTCATTATTAGTTTTTTTGTTTTTTGATTCATGATATATTGGGACTCATGTTTGAAATTATTTGAAGCGTGATACCTGCCCCCTCGGATCTGAACGACAGCCATCATCTTTCTCCCTCTCCCCCCTCTATTGGGGTGGAGGGGGATTCGTTACAAGGTTTCACGTTAACATACGCTTAACCTTTAAAATAGTTCTTTTAAGGTGTTCTAATTCTGGCTCTTTTCCAGTTTCCCCCAACCCCCTTTCAAATTCAATTTCGATAAGCTTATTTAACGTTGTCATAATGCAATGAAATTTGGCGTGGAGAAGAAATCGACAACTGTGAACAGATTTGTTCTTCATACTTTACAGCGTAACATCACGCATTTAGCCGTAATAACACAGAAGACAAACATAAAACTCAGTATTTTTAAGGGGGGAACTGGAAAAGAGCCCTAGTTCTTTACTAGGTTGCTACTATATGGGGGGTAACAGTTAACAAGATCGCCAATCTTTACCAGGAAGTCTCTGTAAACTGTTTTTCAAACCAAAACATTCAAAGTTCGCGCACTTAGCAATTTTCTACGAATTAACGGCGCTCATTTTGATAATTACAGCACGAACAGAGACACTTCCGAGGCAAGTGATTCATATGCTCAAAGCTCAACTTGCCCAGCTGGGATCGGACATCTTCAAGTTTGAGGAACCACAACACATTGGGTGTCCTCAATTCTAGACGATTGGGCAGCGACTAATCGATATTAAAAAAAACTGGACTGCAGAATTTATTTTTTGTTACATTTGAACCAAGCACTTGTTTTCAAATTTCAATAAAAAAATATCAAAATTTATGCTTTTAGACTTCTCGAAGACTTGTTTAACGTATCTGAAATATTTTGACCGAAAAAAATTAAGTTTCGACTAAAGGCGGATTTCGGATTCTCGCGAGTGAAGATTTTCAAAAAAATGTCCGAAGGAAGATTTAAATTATTGCTCAAGCAATAATTGAAATCCTAGATTTTGTTTTGTATAATATGAACTGCACATTAGCAAAAATGATTGCTTTTAACTTCAAAGTCAAAACGTGGCGTAAAATTGATTGATTCAACTCGAAACTTCTGTTTTCTGTTTCGAAGAAAGTGACGAAATGCATGTGGAAGTCTTCGGAGAAAACTCAATTATTGACCACTAATTTTTGACGGAATATTTTAGAGAGTCTGAAAGATTTTGACTCTCTCCTTTGTACTTTTTTGAGATATCCATTTTTTCGACGAACCGAAAATTTTTCTAAGGCGCCTTTGGCGCGGATACTTAATATATTTGAGGTGGAAGCGGGCGCCAAAAAATTCGTTTACAGTTAAAAAGATATTTACCCTGTGAAGTTTTTTTCGGAAAATTTCAAATATGGAGCTGATTGATCGACTATATACCAAACTGCGATAAATTAAAGCGTAACGGGAAACATTATTTTTTCCCAATTGAATTTAGACTAACTACTTGGTCGTTTACTTAACAAAGTTACTAACGGAAGCTTAAAAACCATGACTTTCGATAAAGCGAATATGTAAATGTTTGTAGTTAGTCAATTATTAACTGGTTTAAATTCTTTCTAAAAACTACAGGTTCTTGAAAAAGATTATAGCCGGGCAAATCGTTTGATCTCGCGAAGCTGCTTGACATTTCTGCGACACGGTGAAAGTAATTTTCACAAAGTTTTCTCCGTGTTATCATTGGCATTCTCAGAATTTTTTTGTTTCTCGTTCGATTTGAATCAGGGTCATTGTCGATAGTCTTAAAATCAAAAAAGTTTATCGGCAACTCATTATTAAGAATGTTATTCAACAAATTAAATCGTTTTTAAATAAAGTCAGTGAAACTGGTAACAGTTTGTTTTGTATTCAAATAGAAAACATAATCCTCATCATTCAATTCATGTTTTTTGTTACACGTTTTTATGCATCGTCATTGAAAATTTTTTGTTCATTCACTGTGGTTTTTGGTCTCAAACTAAATTAGAGATGCATAAAAAAATATAGATAAAATGCAACTTTTAAAAAGCAAAACCCGAACAAAGCTATTCAGTGAATTTGGCGAAGATCTTCTGACGTAATTAAATTGCATGTTTGCTTTAGTAAGCCTTTCGGTGATGTGGTATATCTATGACATTTTGAAATTGCACCAAACACCAAGCTCTTTCATCGTGTCTTTCACAACTATTTACTCGCCATCAAAAGATAAAAGATCGCTTAAAGGGTATCGCTTGTTTGCTTTTTGAAATCAAGTTTGTCCAAATTTGTCAAAATTGAAGTCAATTCTGTTTTCTGCTGCCCAGGTTATTACATAGTTTAACTCTGTTTGAACCAAAGAAACGCCAAATCAATTTCCAATAATTTTTGTATGGTCAGCATATGAAAATGAAGGGTTGTCAAAAATTTATAGCATGTGTATATTTAAAGAAAATAAGAACACTGCGAAAACCGATCCTCGTCGACCACCAATTGTTATATTGCGGGAAAGAGTCAAAGTATTAGGAGGAAAAACTATTTGTTTTCTGAATGTGAGATAAGATGCAAAAAATTGAAGAAAATTTGGTCGAAGCCTATTTTGGCAAGCTTGTATAAAAAGATGTTATGGCTATTAGAGTCGAAAGCTTTTGCAATATCTAAAATTAGCGTGAGAGGTGCAATATCTAAAACTAGCGTGCAATATCTAAAACTCGCGTGAGAGCTTGTTCTAATTTCTGGAATAATCCAGTACAATATAAGTCACAGTCGAATGATGTTTTCTAAATCCATGTTGATTTTTACACAACTTTTTATGAATGAACCCTTTCATCTTGTTATATAAAACTCGTTCAAACATATGGCGAGTGCAGGGAGTATTGAAATGGGCCTCTAATTTTCAATGTTCATTCGAGAAGTTTTTTTGTGAAAAGTATTAACGTGTGCTATTTTCCAGATATCTGGAAACTGTTTAACTATGGAATTAAAAAGTTCAAAAATTTCATTCAAATAGAACTGTATTAAGAAAATCAATATGTTAGGAGATATACCATCAACTGAATTTGTTCATGATTTGCATATACTCAATTCCTTAAGAATCTTTTTATAGCATAACGAAAGTATCTGATAAGTAAATTCCTGGAAAAATACTTTCGCTTAGAACAATCAATGGTTCATTGTTTATTTTAAACACAGATGCAAAAAACTCGTTTAAAACCTCACAGATCGCAAATTAAGAGCATAAACTGGTATTTTTGCATGACATTTTTTTGGGTACTTTTGCCTTTCCATTCATTGATCTGAAAATTTGTAGGTCATTTTTAAATCGAAGACTTTAAAAGTAAAGGGTTTGGTCTAGTTATCAAGAATCATTCAATTCTTGCTTGCAGCGTTCAACTTTCTCGTAAGAATAATTTTGTTTCAATGCCGTCTGAAGACAGTTTTCAGCATTTATTGAGTGTGATGACATCCAATGGGGAGCTTTAGAGCAACGAATTGTCTTGTCTTTTTTGAAATATATTTGTTAACGGCTTCATAATGCAACTCAAAGAATGTTTCAAGAGTTCTGTTTGCATCATTCATGCAATGAGGTCTGTTGTTCAAGAAAAACAAACACAATGACTCGGAGTCTGCTTTACGGATACAGTGACGGCTTAAAATATCTGTTTCCTTTCAATTTCAAATGCTATTTGACAGGGAAAACAGGATGATCCGAGAAGCTTTGGTTTTTTCGAATTTATGAGATAAAAAAGGATTGTCTGTTAATTATACGTCTCACTAAAAAAATCTTTATCTGTCATTAAGTCAAGATTGAACTTCGCAATTGATTTCAAAAAACTGGATTCACGTTGGTCATCACTTGATAAACTATTCCAATCAGCTGAAATTAAGTTCAGATCGCCGCATAAAACAAACCCTGTGCGTTGTGTTCAAGTTTTACTATTTTAACGTTGAGTTGTTTGTTCACTTAGTACTTTGGGAGAGCTCGGAAAATCAAAACAGTCGACCTAAAAAAAGGTCCGAAAAATTTTCAAAATGTTTTGAAAAACCGCCCACCCCAGAAAAATTTCTGTGCACGCCACTGGTGAATTAAATTTAAAAATGAAGGCATTGTTCGAGTCCAACAAATTTGTTAAAATTCTAAGAGTAGATCAATTATTTCGTCAAGAACAAAAACAATTGAGCTAAAAGGTTGACAAAACCAGTGAACATGAAAATTCTTAGTAGTCAAAACAGAAGGCGTTTATTTGTTTTTAAATCAAATTTCGATGTGTGGAAAACAGTTCCTTACGATAACAGCATAAGTTCAACTCGATATAAAAAATCCAATTGCTGAGTATGCTCAAGGCCAGCGGCTTGTTAAATCAGTGATAGGTTATTCAACCTCGTTAACATTTGTTGAACCAATTTTTTTTTGTAAACAGTTTGGCATGAGCTGTAATAAGAATAATTCAACTACTGGCTAATTTAGTTTTACGAAGACAACTATGAAACGTGTTTAAAAAAAATGAAAAAATAGCTTTTGGAATTCTCGTAATTACAGCAGCGCAATCAATTTTTTAGACCTGCTGATGAATATGGAGCCAAACAGGCCAATATTTGCACGCTTGATTTGCATATTTTGAACAGGGAGGCCGGTATTTGTGAATGTAGCACAGAAATGTTCCGATACCTTTAAAAAAATACAAATAAAAAAATTCTGTATTTTCTGTAGTGTCGTTGTTTTTGTGCGTGCTATGATGAGAGAACTATAAAAACGCGTACAAAAAATAGTGAAATAGAAATAAACGACATAATATTCACCAAAAAACGACAAAAAAGAACGAAAAAAATCAAAAATTGATTAAGTATTTGTTCTTTTTTGCACAAAATGTTTTCATTTTTTCAGAATAATTTTATCACCAAGGAAATGCTAGAAATGAAGCCGCCCCAAATAGTTTTTTGACAGTTAAACCATTTTTTTTCTCGCTAAAATGACCAATTTTTATACAACGAACGTGACTCAATCGAGTTATTTACACGAAATTAGACTGAAGCTCGAAAATTTCAAATAATATTTTCTTAACACTTGCATTTTTTTGCGAATCGAGACTGAAAAAAATTTATTATGATGTATCACTCGACGAATACCAAAAATTGTTTGTGGTACCTGATTTTGCGTAGGTTACTGTTGTTTGAGGTTGCTGTTCTATGAGGTTGTTTGAGTTTGTTTGAGGTTCCTGATTTTGAGAAAAAGAAAACATAACCAACGGAGAGTTGGAAAAAAATCATGAAAAAAGAAGAATTAGAAAAATAAAACTAATTTTTTTGAATAAATCTCAGTCTTCGATTTTCAATGCGAAAGTGAATGGCTTCAAAGCTCTTTGAAATTCAGGACGAGTTTATGATTGAGAATTTTTTGATAAAAACGAACTCTATTTTAGAAAACTGGATCAATAGGTGAAGTTTTTGTTCCGTAATCTGGAAATTAAATTCCACTTTGGAAACTAGAAGTCCATCACATATATTTTTTATTTTAACATTTTTGCTGTTCGATAGTGGAACTTGCCTTTTTTCAGCAATGGAAATAAAGTGAACTTGAAAAAGCAAAAATCAAACTGCGAAAAATTAAATTTAAACTTGAACGGAACTGACTTTATCCTAAAAAAAATATATACATCCACAAAAAAATCACCATGAGTCAATTCACAACGTCTGTGACCCTTAAAAAACTAAAATACACCCGAATACAAAGGTTCCCCCTATTTTCAACAGACGGAACAAGTAGAAATGTCAAACAAATTAGGAATTGTTTGTTGCAGGACTGGTGAAGATTTTGAAAAAAGTAAAATTTCGGGTGAGCTGAGTAGCTTTCTGTTTACGTCTCTTGGTTCTTCTTTATGTCCTTGAATTTCTTGCTAATTAAAAGTAAAACTAACAAAAGCCATGAAATTTGTTTGTGTCTTCTTATTACAACTGCTTCTGGCTTCCAAAAAACGCATGGTCAGCTTGTTAACAAAATTAGTTTAGTTAAAGCACCTTAAAAGTTGAAAACTCAAGTTCTTCTCATAAAATATGTTAATGGGAACTATAGGCGTTTTGAAACTGCGATGTTCATTTCACGATAAACTAGAAAAATTTTTGTGACCGGACCTTTCAGTACTCTAGTTCATGGCTAGGTCAAAGTGAGGAAAATATCTGCTCTTATCATCCTGAACAATCACCTCTAGACCTCTAGATCGGTCTACAGGACATGTTGTCTTCTTCAGTTTCATGTGGCGTTTTAATGAATAATGTAAAGTCAGTCAGAGGTAAATTAAATTATGCAGACTCTGTTTCCGGTATACTATGAACTTTCCTTATTGCCTCAGAAAGCTTTTTTATTTGTTATCTTCTGTTTTGTGAATATCAAACACAAAACGCAGCAGGATGTACAAAATTTGCGTTTTTCATTATTCATGATTTCTATCAACTTGGATTCATTTGATTTTTCAATTAACTCTTCTGTGATTTGAAAACTTTGATTGATTAAGATCGGCCTTTGATGCAAAAAAGGATGGTCACTTTAAAATAGCATTTGGCTTTAATAGCTTTAAAAGATCAATTGCTTACAAAACACATGCTGAAATGACATACTGCGGTGTCAGAATAGCTGTTTTACTTTCTGCAGATTACATTTTTAGAATTGGGCTAGGAAATTGGTTGTTCAGTTCTTTTTTACCAATGTTGATTAGGAAAAATTTTAATTTCATTTCCTCTTTTTTCCCAGTTTTAGCTTAATTATATTACAGGTCAAACTTGAAGTGGTTATTTTATCTTAAGACAAGAGGCTTTCAAAGACTTGGCATAGGAAGAAAAAAAATAGGAAATCCTGTTTTGGATTAAAAGCATTCCAGGGAAATTAGAAATTCTCACTAAATTTCTCATAAATTGCTAAATGATATTTAAATGCCTGTTACATTATTTGTAATGGGCAAAACTAAATTGCGATCAAAATGTTTAGAAAAAAAAACGCCCTACCTTTTTAAGGTTCCCAATTTTGATCTTGGAAAACTTCTCGAAGTTCACATCTAATGCCATCTGGTGTCTGTTCAGCAAGGCTTCTATGAAATCAGTAACTGTCATCATACCATCATAATTTAAACTTTCGCTATTCCATACAGGCGCGGCTCTCAAATTGTTGTGAAATAATGCAAGAAACGCCTTCGAAATTGGAAGTTTTGAATCCAAAATGATCACTTTTGAGCTTGTGTTGATAAGTTCTTCACACCTGTGACCTTCAAGTAAAGTCGTGAAGAAAAACTTTTTCAGTGGTGATTGTTTGTGATTGGTTAGAAAGGATCTGATTTCATCGTGACTTTGCCCTTGGTTCGACCTGACTAAACTTAGGGTTTTGTGAAGGCTTTCTTTAGAACGGGAATAATTTCTGGGATCTAGAAATTGATTGGATAGTCGATTTAGCCGATCATCAATATTGATCGATCTCGATCGTTTTCTCTGAGTGCCTGATGCACCCTCGACCGATAAAAAATGAGAGTCCAAATAATTGTTATCTTTTTTCGCTCGATTTCTTGCTTTAAGTTTTGATTTAGTGAAGGGTAAATTTAATAGTGGAGCAGTGTTTTCAGAGGGACTAGATCCTTCTGATATTCCCTCAGTTGCCGAAGATTCTTTCGAGCTCAGGCCAATTTTGGCATCATTCAAGGTCAACTCTGGAGGCCGCAAACTCTTTGTATATTTTTTGTTCTTACTCAACTTTTTGTCGTCCTGGTCCAATTTATTTTCGTTTGTGGTGTGATGAAAAGCTTTCCGAATCTTGCCACTCAAATGAACCGTGAAATGTTTTCGCCTTGTTGGCGTGTTTGCGCCTGAGTTACTCTCCGAGTTTGAATCAGCCGCTTCCGATGACATGTGAATAGATGAAGGTGAAAGAGGCTCAGCTTGAGGAGAAAAAGAACTGAATTAGGAAATGAGAGGACCAATTTGGGAGCAAATTCGCAGAAATTTTCAGGGTATCTGGAGTTTTCGAGACTAATAAAAAATTTCAGAATGGAAACGAATTAAGGAAAGGTATGTGAAGGCCAGAATACGAAGACAAAAAGCTGTATTAATGTTAAAGTATCTCTAAAAATACTTGGAAATCAGTGGAGACAATTTATAAGCTGAAACGTCGATAATGTTTGTGAAGTGTTACTTTTTCTTCATTTTCGATAAAAGTTTATTTAAGTTTGCCGTTGGCTTACCTACTTTTTTGTCATTTGGTATCAACAGGAAATAAAGCGAATATATTTTTCATAAATATGTCACCACAGAGGTATATATTTAACGCTTTCAATGGCTGTATTATGTTGGAAATATGAAAAATGTTAAGGCAGAAAAATTAAAGTGATTTTGCGAGTTGCTTACCTTTGAGCTCTAATGTACGGTTAAAAGGAAGGCGCAAACATGCACTTATGAAAATGTTTCATTTAACACGCAGAAGAAAAAACAGCGCTGCTGAAAGATTGACTCTCATAATTTTGAGTTGAAGAATAAATTTTTGAATAATCTAATTACACGGGTATAGATAGTAGCTTGGTATAGCTGAAACGTGAAACCAAACCTAAACACAAGGATATTGATTGTTCTACCAGGTTAAAGTCTGATTTTTTTGTCTTGGCAGGTAGGGAGTGGTGGTATAAATAGACTAATTGGCGCTAAATCAGGGCCGAAACAACTGCTCTCGATAGATGTGCATGGCAACAGGAACAGTTTTTGTAACCAGTCTACAACCAATTACAAATAGCAGAAGTGAACAAATTTATACAAGGATGCGGTGAGATTTTTTAAATTGGGTTATGCAATAAAGAATCCGGTATGAATACAAAATCGAAATTGGTAAGTACTGAAGTGAAGTAACTGATTCGAGTGGCAGCTTAGCAATTAATCGTAATAAAAATCTGATGCAAAGCAGTAATTTGCGTGTTTTTGCTCTAATAGTCACTGAAATGAGCAAGAGAGAACTGAACCGATGCTTCAAAGCAATGTAAAAACTAATCATTTTGTTTGACAACAAAAAATGACATCTTAGCCGGTCGTTTAAATAACTTTCGAAAAACTCAGTATTTCTAAAATTTAGATACTGGTAAGGAAACGCGTGAAGGACACCTCTATCTAGATTGCATAGATTCGTTTTCAACCAACTAGCTATACAAGTAATTCGATACACCTGAGGACAAAAAAATAAAACACAAAATTAAGAATTTGGAAACTGAATAAAATACAGGAAACACTTTCCCAAAATAAGTCGAGCTAAATTCCCTAAAATTTTAACTGATTTTAATTACGAAGAAAGTGAGCTATTTTGCCGAAAAGCAAAGCTATTCTGACTGAATTACTTTCCGAAGTTGAAGACTGCTTTGCTGAAGATTGATTGAATCAGACAAATTCAGTCTCAGATTGAATTACCACAGAGTTCGAGATAATTTTCCCTTTTCTTATCTGTTTATCAACATTAATAATACGCACTTGGGAAGATTTGGGTGGCATTTTGAGTGAATTTTTATTTGAACTAGGAATGCTGCTGCATAAAAACGTCACTTTACGACCTGGAGTAAACTTCTTTTAAATGCATCAGAGATTTCAGTTTGCATGAGTAATCAAATTGTCTCTTTTACTTCACCGGCAGGAAGAAACGGAAACAGTTTGGCAAGGCGCAGTTTTGTAAAAATTGAATTAGCATAACATTGAAGCCCAATTTGTTTGCCAAACTTTTTTTTCGGCTTAGATCATATATTTCTCAAATAGCTTAATTTTTTTTCCAAATAAAAATGTTTTGAATGAAAATGATGCGAAATACCCAAAACGTCAGCAAAAATGCACTCGTTATTCAAGATGCCAACTACAGAAACAATAGGAAAGAGAGTCACTTGACCGAGTACTAAATTAAAGCATCCGAGATTTCATTAAGATCCCGTTTTTTGTGGTGATTACGATCCAGTTTTTGATTTATTTGCTTCTTTATCATCAAAACTCTCAAAATATTTTTCCAAGACATTGCTTGACTGCTTTGTTGACTTTAATGGTAGTGCATTTGCTATGTTAAACTCAAAAATTTGCTTTTAGGCTCAGGAAGTCTAATAGTAGAAGAGTGAGCAGAAGTGCGGGGGGGGGGGTCCCGGCGGTCCCCCATGTTTTAATATAGGGAATAGATTTCCGGGACCGCTGGTTATGTATGAGGATAGAAAATAGGTTTCCCAATGTTTTGGGATGGGGATTAGAAACGGTAAGGTTTCAGTGTGATGGTATGAGACTGGTAAAAAAAACGGTGTTTTTTGGTTTTCTCTAGTTTTTTTTCAAAAATCTGGGCGCATGGTATGTAATTGGTGAGCATCATTGGTGTATTACGTGTAGATTGCGGAATGAAAGTAATATGTTTTTTTTTCACGATTTTAGCCCATATTTTAAGATAGAGAATAGATTTCCGGGACCACTGGTTATGTATTAGGATAGGGAATAGGTTTCCCAAGGTATTAGGATTGGGATTAGGAATGGCATGGTTTCAGTGTGAAGGTGAGATAATCGTAAGAAAAATGGTATTTTTGGTTTTCTCTAGTTTTTTTTACGAAAATCTTGGCGCGCGGTTCGTAATCGGTGAGCATCATTATGTATTACGTGTAGATTGCGGAATGAAAATATTTTTTTTTTTCACGATTTTGACCCATGTTTTAAGATAAGGATGAGATTTCCGAGACCGCTGGTTATGTATTAGGATAGGGAATAGGTTTCCCAAGGTATTAGGATTGGGATTAGGAATGGTATGGTTTCAGTGTGAAGGTGAGATAATGAAAAGAAAAATGGTATTTTTGGTTTTCTCTAGTTTTTTTAACGAAAATCTTGGCGCGTGGTTCGTAATCGGTGAGCATCATTATGTATTACGTGTAGATTGCGGAATGAAAATATTATTTTTTTTTCACGATTTTGACCCATGTTTTAAGATAAGGATAAGATTTCCGAGACCGCTGGTTATGTATTAGGATAGGGAATAGGTTTCCCAAGGTATTAGGATTGGGATTAGGAATGGTATGGTTTCAGTGTGAAGGTGAGATAATGAAAAGAAAAATGGTATTTTTGGTTTTCTCTAGTTTTTTTAACGAAAATCTTGGCGCGTGGTTCGTAATCGGTGAGCATCATTATGTATTACGTGTAGATTGCGGAATGAAAATATTATTTTTTTTTCACGATTTTGACCCATGTTTTAAGATAAGGATAAGATTTCCGAGACCGCTGGTTATGTATTAGGATAGGGAATAGGTTTCCCAAGGTATTAGGATTGGGATTAGGAATGGTATGGTTTCAGTGTGAAGGTGAGATAATGAAAAGAAAAATGGTATTTTTGGTTTTCTCTAGTTTTTTTAACGAAAATCTTGGCGCGTGGTTCGTAATCGGTGAGCATCATTATGTATTACGTGTAGATTGCGGAATGAAAATATTATTTTTTTTTCACGATTTTGACCCATGTTTTAAGATAAGGATAAGATTTCCGAGACCGCTGGTTATGTATTAGGATAGGGAATAGGTTTCCCAAGGTATTAGGATTGGGATTAGGAATGGTATGGTTTCAGTGTGAAGGTGAGATAATGAAAAGAAAAATGGTATTTTTGGTTTTCTCTAGTTTTTTTAACGAAAATCTTGGCGCGTGGTTCGTAATCGGTGAGCATCATTATGTATTACGTGTAGATTGCGGAATGAAAATATTATGTTTTTTTTTCACGATTTTGACCCATGTTTTAAGATAAGGATGAAATTTCTGAGACCGCTGGTTATGTATTAGGATAGGAAATAGGTTTCCCAACAAATTATGATTGGGATTAGGAATGGTATGGTTTCAGTGTGAAGGTGAGATAATGGTAAGAAAAATGGTATTTTTGGTTTTCTCTAGTTTTTTTAACGAAAATCCTGGCGCGCGGTTCGTAATTGGTGAGCATCATTATGTATTACGTGTAGATTGCGGAATGAAAATATTATGTTTTTTTTTCACGATTTTGACCCATGTTTTAAGATAAGGATGAGATTTCCGAGACCACTGGTTATGTATTAGGATAGGAAATAGGTTTCCCAACAAATTATGATTGGGATTAGGAATGGTATGGTTTCAGTGTGAAGGTGAGATAATTTTAAGAAAAATGGTATTTTTGGTTTTCTCTAGTTTTTCTTACGAAAATCTTGGCGCGCGGTTTGTAATTGGTGAGCATCATTGGTGTATTACGTTTAGATTGGGGAATGAAAATATAATGTTTTTTCTTCGTGATTTTAGCCCATGTTTTAAGATAAAGAAGAGAGTTCCGGGACCGCTGGTTATGTATTAGGATAGAGAAGATGTTTCCCAATGTTTTTAAGGTTGGGATTAGAAATGGTAAAATTTCAGTGTGATAGCGAAAGAATGGTAAGCAAAACAGTATTTTTTGGTTTTTTCCAGCTTTTTTGCAAAAATCACGGCGCGCAGTATCTAATTGATGAGCATCATTGGTGTATTACGAGTAGGTTGCGGAATGAAAGTTTTATGCTTTTTGGTTCATGGTAACTCAAATGTACGAAACTTTCTGCAAGTATATTTTTCCAAAAACTTCGCAACACGATAAATTTGATATAATTTCACCAATTACCTACTCTATTAGATGATCTCACTTTTCACAACAGTACTCTATCTCCCTGAAACTAAACTGAAACCAAACTGAAACGCAGCTGAAACTTCCGAATACTCGAAAAAATCGTCAAAAATCATAATTTGATAATTGTTAAGTACAAGTAATCAAATTAGACTCAGCACTTGTCCAAAACTCATTTTTTTACGCTCTATATCTTTTTTGCTACTATTAATCTGTCCTAGAGGATATCTATTTTGTAAACAACATCGGTTCAAAACATTATTTTCATTATTAGTTTTCAAATTGGTGAAAATTCCAACTTGGACTTTATTAAAGAATAATCAAAAATCATTTTAACTAGATAAAACTAAAATTGTAATATAGAATTTCCAATTATTAGGTGAAGGGTGATTTCTGAGAAATAATCAAGTTCCTGCTATTCTTACCATAAACACATTTTTTATCCAAGTTTTATCACAATTATCATAGTAGGTTCGTGTATGAAGCCTGTTTCTAACAAATTGGTGGATGGGTAAAAATTTCTAATTTTCTGAGGTTGTTCTACATATTCATCTATTCTAGTTCTCAATGATTCTTGTTTTTGTTTTTTCAAATTTGTTTCTTCAGCAGAGCTTTGTAGTAATTTTTTTTGAGAACTCAAAAATATACATATAATTTGAACGCAGATTTTGGGTATTAATTTATCAACTGATCTCCACCAAAACTAATTTTGCATTAATTTTAACGCTAAACAGACAACTTACTGCAAAAATTTTATCAATTAAAGGATCATTTTCGTCTCCAAATTAACTTAAAAGGAATTCTGCTTGAATACTTTAAATTTTCCATAATTCCTATTAACGCATAAAACAATAGAAACAAAAACCGAATAAAAAGCTAATGAATGTCTATACTTATGAGTTTTGCAGTTTTTTGGTTTGTTATTCATAATAAAAAATTATGAAAATTTTTCTCAAAATTCACAAAAAAATTAGAGTGAGTTCTAACAGTTTTTCCTGCAAATTAAAAATTAACATATTTTGGTTTCTGCTTGATCTACCATCTCCTAATGTGAGTGCGTTCCAATCCACTTTTAATAAATTTTTGCTCAAAATATGAATTTTAGATGGAAAACTGTAACATTTGACCGAGC